GCAAAATATTTCTCTTAAAATAGACTCGACTAAATGAAGAAGGATTCAAACAAGTTACTTGGTTCATTTGGTAGGAATAAGTTTAAACTTAGTTGTATCTAATTGTTGGGTGACTCAGTGGATACTTACCATCAACTATTCAGTAAATCTGGGGTATTTTGCTTATCTGTTGGTCAGTTACCATAGTTTCTTTTGTTTCTGTTATGTCTCTTTGAGTATATCCATTTTACAGCCCTGAGATGGTGTGATCTGGGGAGTACAGACATATTGTTTTTGGACTTAACGATATTCTATTCTAGAAATGCTGGCCATACTCTGTTATAGCTGTAGCTTTAGAATGCTAAGTTGTAGATGAGGATATGCGTAAACCTGTGTCCTTATCTGAATGACTGACATTGTGTAATCTAATGATCCTTTCCTCCTTTCCAGTTAGTACAATTGCTTTCTGATAGCTTTAGAACTGAAAGGTATTATTGAAATGACTGGTTAGTGCAGACTGCTGAAAATTATTCTTAAGGTGCTACATTGAGCTCTGTCTTGACTGTACAAATGGTTTAATAATTACATATTCTTCCAAAGTTCTTCCTGTAACTTCTTTTTTGGGGAGGGGTGGGAGAGGATGACAATATGTGAAATGCAAGGCACAGACTTTTTATAAAGTGATATTGTGTGCACTAAGTCCAGTTTCTGTTTTAGAATGGTTAGAGAAGTGCGCTTTTTTTTTTCCAGGCAGAAAAGGAAATCCACCAGAAGTTTGAGCTTCCATTTCAGATTTTATACTTTGCATCTCTTTCAGCAGTTGAACTTTTCACTTTAAAGCTTAATGGCTTCCGTTGTTTCAAATATTATCAGGTAACTGAAAGATAGGGTGATTTGTGGCTTAAATCTTTTCTTTTATACTTTGTCGTCTTCCTCGTCTGCCCCCGCTTGTTTGTCATAAATGAGTCAAAAGGAAATCATGTTGGCACTGGATGGAGCTGAATACAGTATTAGTTCCAGAGTCAAGCGTTGTGTCAATCTGAAAAGAAAAGTAAGAGCATGATCAAAGTTTAGGAGGCAAGCAGTTTGTACAACATGTGAAATGGAAAAATGGGTTTGAGCTAGAGCAGCATCAGGTCAGGCTAGTTGGGAATCACTGGGAAGTCAAGTTCAGGCAGGATCAGAGCCCTGACTCAGTCTGGGGCACACTTGCAGCCAACAGGCACACTGGTCAGTGAAAAAGTGTACGCTAGGCTTCTGTTGCACCAAACAGTGTGACAGACCGCAGTGTCCTAAAGCAGCTCCTAGTTTTGTGGGCTGGTGTCTCCTTAGCTGAGAAGGAGGCAAAGACCAGTAACCAGGAAAGCTCTCTTAGCTAGGAACTGAGTTTTGCTTTTCTGTCAGACATTGAAGTAGCGTCAGGACTGCTACTCAAAACCAGTGGGGTGGTAGGTGGAAGTGGGAGCAGACAATAGATGGTGCTTCTGTTGCATGCTGTGTTAGAGATGTCCAAGTTAGCTTTCTTAGAGGGTTTTGGAGAATACATTGGTTTGTGTTTCATTCCAAGATGTCATGGCCAGACTACCTGAAGACAGACCCACACAGGGATGCCGTGATACCCCTATGATGTATAGGGGTGTGTGTATATATAAAGTATTAGTGTGCTCTCGATGACTTAAGGAGTAACTGTACAAATGACATAACAATCATCACAGAGAAAGAGGAAGGTTAGTACTTGTATTGCTCATTGCCTGGGTTTGGAGGGAAGGTCAGAGGAGTGTTTGAGTGTACTGCAGTCTGGCTTTTGTCACGTCTTCAAAGATCTTAAAGCTTTTTGCTTAGGTGCTTCCGAGATTAAGACTAAGCAAGCTGTAATAGTGTGAATATATGTGCTTTCATTACATACCAACATTTAAAGCAGTGAAATTGGCTCCAGAGTACTGTACAGCAACTGAATATTTAGGCCTGAACTTCCAAATCTGGTTGGTGAAGGAAGCTTTAGCTTGCATTAAATTCCTGAATTTGAGAGCCAAAATTGAATTGCTAGTCTCTCACTAAAACCAAGTTGTTAACTTCTTATTTCAGGATTTGTAGTATTCTTTAAGGAATTGTAGATCATTCAGTAAGAAAAAGTCACAAATGACTCAAAACACTAGGAAAAACAGATATTTGGTACCTGCTGCTTAGGTTCTGTTACTTCTAAATTACTGGCAGCCTTTGTTATTGACATCTCCATATTTAATCGCTGACTTCAGACTGAAAAATTCAGCTTAAACTGTTGTTTCAAAGACAGTGAAATTGCTGCAGTTCACCCAGATTACTGTACTGGGATTTCCCCTACACCCACTATGTTTATGTCATTCTAGAGACACCTTTCCAAAAATAAAGGCATAACTGAATGTTTGTTTTAAAGAAATGACAGGTAATGTAGTTATAGGCTTAACTTCTCATGAGCTTGAGAGGTGCATTTCAGTTAGAGACAGTCCTTTATTCCTGTTGTTTGTAGAAAGGCTGGACAACTTACAAGTTTGTGGATCTAACTGAACATTTACAGTGGTGCCAGGTGGATTAAACTTGTGGTGTGAATGGTGGTCTGTGTTTGCAAAAAATCCATGTAGGGAAGGGAGCATATTTTTTAAAGTCAGGAGTGGAAAAAATGGTCTATTAGGTGTGAAAATCACTCAAAAGTCTCAACATTTATTGGTAACAGAAGCCTGTGGCAAGAACTGCTTTGCTGGACACCATGTCAGTTATTTCCTTACAGCTTTCTCCTTGTGTTTCTTTTCTTGCTTAGGGGTGCAAGGAACAGTTTAGATAAGTTGAAAGATTGCTTATTGTGTCTTTGCAAGAAGAAAACCAAATGGGATGTGGGCTCTGGATTTCTCATCTTCTGACAAAGATGGACATTAACATGGAAGTGCTTTAATTTCTATGTGAAATATCTTAGCTTTTTGTGCTAAACACCTAACAGATGGTGTGACTCCAGAGATGATGTGAGATTACTGCTGATGAGAAGGGTCTTTCTTATTTTACTTCCACTGCTTACCTTGCACAAGCACCTGTGTTGGATTGCCTGCACTTCCCCACTTGCCCAACCCCCAAATTATTCATCAGCTGGGGAGAGTTTCATCTTTCTGCGGGGGCAGAGGGGGGAGAAAACAGGTAACTCAATCTGATAAGTGCTAAAGCCTCTGCAGGAAAGGAACTGAGACCTTCCTCCCAGGGCAGCAGTAACAGTCCTCTTAGCTCAGTTGCTGTAAGAGGTGTGTTTTCTTGAGCAGTACGTCCCAAAATATGTGGCCTTATTCTGGTTTTGCTGGGTCAGTTTTCAAGACGGATGAGTGTGCAGATCCGGCAGATTGTTGTGTGCAGCCACACTAGCGAGTGTGGAACAGGGGACCAGATCCAGCGTGTAGAAAAGGAATGGTCTCAAAAGATTTTTTTAGTTGTCTCCAGTTATTAATGAAACTATAGTCATTATAACTGCGGTTAGATCTAGCAAAACACTATGAAACTTTCAGACTTAACTGGGGATTATTTTTTTTTTAAACTGTCTTCTGGGATTCTGCTGTTCTTTTTGAGAAGTGTTTGTTTGCTGGGAAGAGGTTGGTGTAATTTTCTGACACAAGTCTTTCTGTGATTCTTTGTCTAGCATTTAAGTGTTTCAGAATGAGAAAATGCTTGCTATCTCCTCTTGGATAATTGTTTCGTATCAATAGTAACTGTTAGCTTTACTAGAGTAGAGTTTATTCAATATTGCTTTATGGGAGCACAGTAATGAGGTAGAGGAAATACTATATCTTATGGCTGCAGCGTTTATTGTAGCTGTATTAAGAGCTGATAGTTTGAAAATGGCCACCGTATTAAAAAAAGTTAACTAAGCCCTTTTATCAAACCCTGTGTAGTGAACGTTTTGTCAGCATGCTGATGCTTTCAGTTCATCAGAGGAGACAGACGTTTCATGCATGTCAGCTCATATAAACAAAGTAATTTACACATGTATGTGGATATATATATAAAATTACAAAAAAAATTTGTGATACAGAATCACTTTGGGGGTGGATGAGGAGTGGTTGTAGTAGCTGTGAAATTTAAGCAGCGTGTTTTTAGAATTACTGTATCAGCACCATAGGTAACAAACATTAGTAGCTGTTTATCTGATAAACCTATTCAATACTGTAAATGTGGTGGTTGTAAAACTGGAAGCTCTTTAGGCATCTGTGTGGCTCTTAGGAATACTGGTTTTGGTCTGCTGTTGCAGAATAAGTAGTGTATGCAACTTTTTGTGAGTGAATGAAAGATCTTGAGAAACCTGTGAAATACCTTAAGGTTTGCTGTGACTGTAGCTGAGAGGTGCTATGGGCTGGTTTGTATGACTAGAAGAGTTTTTTTGTAGGTTTCTGGAAAGCGTTATAAGATGAACATGCCTCACTGGATGGTATGCTGTAATCCAAGTAATTGGCCTATCAATTGGAGTAAATTAATTTCTATTCCTAATTCCTCCTTGCCATAAATAAAGGTGAATCCATCCAGACACCTCTGAGACAGTGATATGTGGACATGGATGTGAGCAATTCTTCCAGATACTTGTGCACTTTCTTTGAAACACCTGCAATATTTTGGCAAGATCATGATACTGAGGTCTTTATTACAGAGAATCTTAATATGGTTTTGACTTTTCTCTAAATTAGTGTTTCATGGGTTATAAAAAACTCTGTTTTAAAAACTTTCCAAGTGTGTGCGATCTTGACTATGAAGTTAGGCTAGATACCACTTAAAGAAGAACCATTATTCATGTGTTAACAAGAAAACCTTGGAGGTACTTTAGATGAAAAAGTAGCATTGTACAACAGTTAGTGTCTTGAATAAATGTCCATAGTTGCCATATTCTGTAATAATTAAAGTGATGTCCTGCTTAGGTTATGTCTGATTATAATGGCATATCTCCTGTGTTTATCAGCTGATATCAATATTTAACTGTTCATGTCTTGTTACATATGTGATCTTACAGTGACTGTAGTAATGCTAAAATAGTTGTCCTGTTGATCAAAAGGATGAGTAATTTATTGTCTGTTTTAGGTTTTGAGGGTGATTTATCTCTTGCATCATGCGTGAATACAAGCTAGTGGTTCTTGGTTCTGGAGGCGTTGGAAAGTCTGCTCTGGTAAGTATTCTGTGTGTTTTCTTGGGCTTCTCATGTCTTTTTTTTTCTCTAATATACTCTCTACTAACCCATATTTCTTTTACATAAGTGTGCACAAATAAACAAGAATAAATTTAAGCAATGACTGCTGAGGGTTCCTGGCTAGAATAAGTACGTCCCTTACTGGGTGTATCCACATCCATTGGTGTGCTCTCACGTGCAAATATTTTTGTATGGGTTGGTTGATGATGCTGCTTGGTCAGATCTTTGCCTGTCTTACACAGTGAAGTGCATAGCCACGGCATTTTGAAAGTCTCTGGCTTCACTGTGCAGCTCAGCCATAGTTCTGTAGGCAATCGAGCCTCTTCATGAAACTCACACAATGAACTACTTCGCCTGCATCTGGCCTTGGTAACTACTGGCTCAAGAAAACTCTTCAGGGTGCTGTATTCTTAATCTTTGCTAGCAATCTCCAAAGTACTGATATTTTTTTAATGCAAGTACAAATACGTATTTGCATGTTTGTAGGGGGTTTAACATGTTTTCTACATCTTTCCCTGCAAGTCAGTGTATAGCTGCAGCAGGGAGATGATTGTAAGCCAAAGAGGTCATGCATTTTAGTTACAGAAAAGTTTAGTCTGACCTAGAGTAGCACTAAAAAGTTTTCAGAATATGATGTTCTTGGGTCACCTAAGAACTTTACATCTTTCAGTTTAATTGAGCACCTTATAAAGTAAGGTCAAGAGGTCCACTCTATCGGGTAAGAACTATTCTCTTACATAGCATTCCTAAAGGAAAACGTAAATGACAAATCATGTTAGATTGTGAAAGAACTTTTTCCTTCACCTCTGAGTTCTTTATCTTACTGCAGCATTTCTGGATTTGAACCTGTCTGCTCTGACTTGGCCATTGAGTCTTAAAGTTCCATTTGACTTGTGCTAAAAATGTCCTACGTGCTAGGTACACAGGAGTATCCTACTGAGTCTAGTTAAGACTAGTAAATGCTGGCAGTTGTTTTTTTGACTAATTCCTGTGCTGGCAGATAAGTAGCAGAAGATGCAGTAGTTCTAAATGCAAATGTAAAAGCCGTGCAGCTGTATAGTATCCTATGCAACTAAAAACTAATAATGATTCCAAGAGTTAGACAAATCTCAAATCAATGCATGCCTTAATTCAGTGCTCCAAGTGAGAGTGGATAAAGGAAGATGTAGCATTGCTTCATCTAACAGTACTTAGTTAACTAAGCATATACATCTAACTTCCTGTTGTTTCTTATAATTTCCTATTATTATAATTGTTAGTCACCTAATTTGCCTTCAAAAAGGTAATAGATATACTGAGTATATATCTAGAAAAGTAATTTGTGTGTTTGCAAAATGTCTCTATGCAAGAAGAATCTTACAAGAACTTTTGTGTTGCAGACTGTACAGTTTGTTCAAGGAATATTTGTTGAAAAATACGATCCTACGATAGAAGACTCCTACAGAAAGGTATATGCAAGACCTCTCTAGTTTTATAGAACCTTAAATATTTGACAGTATGTGCTGGAGTTTTGAGTCATTGCTTGAAAAAGGGTATGCCTGGTAATGCCACATAATACCAGGTAACTTAACAAGTTTGAAATGCAAAGGTGCTCTTAAAGTCTGTCTAAAGGAATAATTCAAGACTAGCTTTTCAGTGTTTGAGCATAATACCTTACTAGCTAGTCAGTAAAAAATGGTAATTTCCTTGTCAGAATTGGGAAAGTTGATTCAAAAAAAAAAAAAATACCACTACCAGGCTTTTTAATAATGTTTATTATTAGTTTGTGTGTGATGAAGTATCTTCAGGTAGATCTGGACTTGTATATTAGCGTGGCAGTGTGCTCTCCTTGTTTCCTGCCTCCCGGCTCCTGTGTGGGCCATGGCCACTATGTCCGCCTGCAACAGTTGGAGGTCTAAGCTACTTGGCTACTAGGAAAATCTGCTAAAAGCAACTTCACATTCACCTTTAGAACACCAGAGGCATCATACTGTATTCCTAGCAGTTTGACTGATAGCTTGATGCGCTTCCATTAGGTGGGTTGTTGTTTTATTAATAAGTTAACACAAACCTATCATAAATGAACAAATACAGTGGCCTGTTAATTTCTCTCTTCCCATCTTCATTGTGACAGGCTGAAAGGTCTGACTCTGCCTGCATCATCTTGAATCTCCATATTGCTCACTCTTCAGTTTCAGCTGAGACCATGATTAATATTCCAGACTAAGATAGTTTTCATCTGGACTGCTACCAAAAGAGTTAACCATTTGAGGAAGCAGATTAGTTTTCATCTGTGTCAGTTTCTTAACCTATCTTTCTTTTTTTTAGCTGAATTACTTTTCAGGCGCATTGATACTCTGATGCAGTTCACCAGGTAGCTGCAAAAATGCAAGGGACACAAAATGCGCAAACCCTAGCTGGGAATGGGCAAAAACTGCAAGACCTCCTCTTTCAGCACTGGACTACTTATATACTGGAATAAAGAGGCTGCATTAGCAGCTGTTTCAGCCTGTAGTTACCACAATCTCTTCTGAATGAAAGAGGAATTAGTGAGAGCAAAATGATGATTTCATGCTTGTTTTCTTTGACCTCATATAAATCTGTGTGCTGGAAAAATCCTAGTCTGTCTTAAGTATGTGGGCTTTCATCCAAAGCTAGAACTCTTATTAAAGAGAGCAGCTACAAAAATTTCTATATAGCCACTTTTTCTGTATTAGAGGAGAAGGAATTTTGGACCCTGTCGTGATGTTTGGTGCAGGCCTTTGCTGGGTCAGGCCCAGTAAATGACTCCAGAAATATTCACAAGCTGTACTGAAGTGAAATGTTTCCTTTGTTATATATTTACATTCTTCAGGTCAAACTAGATTCATGATGTTTGCTGGGTGAATTTTGCCAAAGACTGTTTCCATGGAGTCTGAAAAAGTGAAAAGTAAAGTCATTTCGAGAAATTTTGCCTTTTGCTAATTAATTTTTATATTTTTTTGGCAAAGATCTTACAATGTTCCTTTCGGGTTTAGTCCTGAAATGACTAGGAGTCTCTGTGTATTCTTCTTTTCAAATCAGTCAGGTTGTTTAAGTCTTGCTTAAGTATGAACACCACTTCATGCAGTCATTTTCTTCCTGTCACTGCCAGTTACAGTTCTAACTTGCTTCTTGACTTGAGTGACTTTGCAACTGCCAAACCAATACATTTTAATTCTATACTTTCAATGTTAAATATTATTTTAAAATACTCAAAGTTGAGAGGGTGTGGCTTGAAATATTTTAAGTTTGTCTGGAATTAAATATCAAGCATGAAGTCTTGCGGCTTGACACCTTGGTTTACTCCCTAAATATTTTTTCATAAAGAGAATAGATGCTGCTCAATTAGCTGAATAACTTTGTCAGCAATACATGCTAAAATAGTGGCTGTTGAAGGAATCTACATCCCTAGGGGATGTGGGGGAGGTTAGAGGAGTGGAAATACTCCTCTTGCCCACCCTCCAAGCTCAAATCTAGTTACAAAAGAAAAACTCAAAGTTAAACTTGTGATAATGCATATATGGGGAGGCAAAGTTCTTTGTGAGTGCTGATCTTACAACTAGGAATTTTATGTGCAAATGGAAACAAGGGAAGTGTACCAATAGCTTGAAAGAAAAAAAAGTAAGAAGTAAAACGTGGGTAACCTGCTTGGAACAGCTTGAGGGCATGTCCATGTCCTTTGATGCCCTCAAGGCTATTTCTTTATCTAGTTTCTACCTCAAAAAAAGAGGAACTCTGAAAGGATACAGAAACTGAACCAACTTCATAAACCTTCCATTTTTTGCAAATTTCTCTAAGCTGGATCAGCTTTCTAATTAGTGTCACTAAAGGCTTGTTTTGGGGACACCACCCTTAGTGGTTTGCTTGGTTTATTGTTTGCTGTACACTACTTACTGTCTTCTTGTTTTAAATTTCTATTAAATGAGTGTTAGTATGCCTATCCAACTTCCTAGCTCTCACCTGTACTTTTCTTCCAGTCTGTAAATGATCCCTGAAACAAGTAGAACTCAGTTGTGCTAGTTGCTGAGAACCATTATTACAAATTTAGCAGCCTCCTTTTTAATAATCAAAAATCCCTAATCACTTTACAAAGTGAGTGTACTTGGCTGCTGATGCTGCTATTGAAAATGTCACTAGGGCTCTTTGAAAGGTTTCTTCCTGCTGTTTTCAAAGTGTATGTCCATATAAACTTCTTAAGCCATTATGTTGCTTTATGCATTATGAATTTGCTTATAAAACCACACTATTCCTGGTGTCTTTGGAGGGGGGAGTTGCAAGAGGAAAAACTAACCACATCTTTCTCTCTTGACAGCAAGTTGAAGTAGATGCACAACAGTGTATGCTTGAAATCTTAGATACTGCAGGAACGGTATGTAAAACAACTTCCCTAAATATTGATGTACAGTGCTAAAACCATCAAAAGCTGTAGGGATGTAAATTATGACACATTTCCTTCCTCTTTCTCTAAAGAGTAACTGGTCAGTGCATTGCAGTAAAGGATGTTCTTTAACATACTAGTATTTAAACAACACTTGAGTATTGCAGCAGAAAATGAATTGCAAGTTTCCTGTGAGCTCCTGTTCTGTAACAGGGGAAACACGAGATTGAGAACTATAAAAGAGCTTGTGGTGCTGTTTTAAATGGATATTGCCCAGAGGAAAATTTAGGCCCGATGATTACTCGGGTTTGATTCTCTGTGGAGAATACGTGCTTTCTTCTCTCCTCTTTCTTTTGTATGTAAGATGTACTCTGACATTGGGATAAAAATAGTATCGCTTTAGTCAGCTTTTGTGAACTCAAAGCGCAGGGTTTATGCTGACCCTTTGCATACTGGTCAGGTTTTTCAATGACCTGTTCCAAGATGTACTGAAAGCAGTCGTTTCCTTCGCTGATTCCCGTGAATACAAGCTCAAGACCCTTGGAGAGTGATGTGTGTTCTCTGAACTATAATAGTAACCTGGTCCAAAATAATTTATTCAAATTCCGTATTAGACTAAGGCCATGTAAAACTACAGAAGGGTGGAATGGCTGTTCTCTCAAAATATATTGCGCTTTTCATCTGACCTACAGCAAGGGACTTGGTGAGTGATTGATTAGTGACAAGGTGGCAGAGTCACCAATGCGAGAAAGGCAATTGCTGTTCCATAGTCATACTGGTGAGAGTTTTCAAACTGGGGCAAGTCCTAATGCTGCTGTGCAGTGCACCAGTGAGTCTTCATATGCAATATTGTAGTTGTCACCATGCTCTAGGAATGGTGACAACTCTGAGTGTCTCCATCCTGAAGTCAATCTTCTTGAAAATGAAAGTAGAATTTAACATGAGAAAGTGCCTAGACTACAAAATGGATGCTGACAAGGAATGCGTTCACTTTGCCATGTGCTTTAAAGAGATGGGGGGAAAAAAGTTGGTGTGTAAGGAGGAGTTTGGGAGGAGTATAACTTCTGTAATCTACAGATTATACTGTACATTCTAGTCTGCCTCCTCTCTTTAGAAATTACTTTGGTTTCTGTGATGGTGTTTTTTTTTTTTTTTCCCTAGGGTATCACCCATGTGAATATCTAGATATTGTTCAGCCACCCCAGATAATGTTCCAAAACAGATTTATTTAAAAGTGGTTTGGTTTACTGTGATGCCTATAATCAAACAATAAAATATCAGTCAATTTAAAAAGGAGGGGAGGGCACAAATGTGTCATACTTGTGATCCATTTGTGACCTAAGTATATGGTAGTTTGTGTAATGAAAGGGCAAACTGAATGCAACATATGTATCTTTTTTTTTTTTTAAATTACAGGAACAGTTTACAGCAATGAGAGACCTATACATGAAAAATGGACAAGGTTTTGCATTAGTATATTCCATCACAGCACAGTCCACGTTTAATGATTTACAGGATCTAAGAGAACAGATTCTTCGAGTCAAAGACACTGATGATGTAAGCATTTCTAAAAATGCATAATACTTGTATTTACAGTTTTCATTATAGATGTTGTAATGTATACACTGAGATCGGATAGCTTCCAAGCTTTAAGTTGAGACAAATCAACCAATAGATGCATAGTACAGAAATGCAACTCTTAAGATAAACTGGAGAAGTTGTAAATTGTCACGTGGTATGCAAAGACAATTGTCTTTTTAATCTCTGCCTTTAAAATACTCTTATTTGAAACCGTAGATAAGCTTATTCACTAGTACAACAGAAAACATTTCTAAGGCAACTCTATTCTTACCTCAAAAATGATGAAGGTTTAAAAAAACCCTACAGTTCAATTGTTCTTTTCAATATGCCTACTGTTTATGATATTTGAAAAGCACAAAATTCTGATTCCTTATAGAAGACAGGACTGTAAGCTTTAAACTTGCACGTTATGTAGCTTTTGTATTTTGTGTGTCCTTGCAAGTAAGTTTGGACATGTCATTTCCAGACAGTTTCAATATGTACCTCTTAGCATTATTAAAGCTATAAAGTTTATAATTGAATTTGGAAACTTGCTTGCTGCATGTATCCACATATGCTGCTGCTGCCAGCAGACACAGAATGTATTAAACGTTTCAATTTCAGGGAAGTTCATTGGGACTCTTGTAATACAAATCACCTTGCACTTTCTTAATCATAAGCATTTGCAGTTCTTGCCTATGTTCAGCAGATCTCTTCTAGAAGTGATTTATTACCCATTATCACAAATGTATCTCAAAAGTGTAGTATTTAAGTTGCATATGCCTTTTCCATTTGGAACCTACCAAGTTACAGCCTTGTTTAGCATCAAATTAACTTTGTACACTAAAATCAAGATAAAACTTAACAATATTTGAAACATTAATTTACATAGTAAATTTATTCTGATTCACATAAGCTTTCTAGTATTTTGCTAGTATTTCCTTGGAATTGGATTTCTCTTTAGAACGCTCCCCCCAGTCTTGAAAGTCATTCCATAGTATCAGCAGAAAGATAAATGTTGCAACTTTAGTTCTCACCAAAATTGAAGTAGTTTTTCCTGTGCCACAGCTTAGGTATAATGCTTTCTCAGTGAGGGGAAAATTAAATGATCAACATACTGTAAATCTTTTTTCAACAGTTGAATTTGGAAGAAACTTAGCTATGTCCTTAAAGGACAAAGTAAAAGGAAGAAAAAAAACCCCAGCTTTGTATGATTGCCTTTTCTTGCCATGAAGGTCAATTCAATGTTTTCTGTAGTTACTAATTTTAATAAACTAGCATGTTTCTTTCCTCTGCATATCAGCTTACTGATCAGAACTGTGTGAGCAAGCTGCTCTTGAAAGGAGTGCAGATACACAGGGAGCAGAGGAATGGTGAAAAGAGCTTTAGCAACATTCATCATGCTACTCAGTACAGGCCACTTTTTCCAGGATTTCTGAACATGTAAAGATCTTGTAGCAGATTCTTCAGTAGACTCCTTGATACCTTAAACATCTAAAAATGAAATCTTATTAGGTCTTCTAGATGATGTGAGATTTTGCTCAATTTCACACCTGAGCGAGCTGTTGCCTGAAACGCTGGGGATGAGTGACAAGATCCATACACAACGTCAGGGCTCTCTGCAACTCCATTACAACCACCTTTCTGTCCCTTGTGTAATTTTCTTGTTAGGCTGGGTGCTGAGCAGCAGCTCATGGGGCAGCTGGTGAGGGCAGGGGGACTCTGCCCACAGCCCAGGTCACCGAGTGATGCACAGCATCTTCACAGCATCTTGGGCAAACGGGATGGAAGATGGGGAAAGAAGTGAAAGCAGGCAAAAAAAAAAAAAAAGCAAGCAGTCACTTTGAAGATTAAAGTTTCACACAACCATAAACTTCAGTTTCTGTTATACTGGAGCTTGATTATTCTGGAGGTCAGGATCCTCTAAGGGTTCAGGTTGGGTTTTAGGTGTGCGTTTACACTGTGCTTTCACAAAATTTTAATGAATTCTTTGCTGGGATTAAATTGTTTTTAGGTGCCTATGATTCTGGTTGGCAATAAGTGTGACTTGGAAGATGAAAGAGTTGTGGGAAAGGAACAAGGTCAGAACCTAGCAAGGCAATGGAATAACTGTGCATTCTTAGAGTCTTCTGCAAAATCAAAGATAAATGTTAATGAGGTAAGGCACGCTACCTACGGGGGGAGGGATGGCACAGAGAGAAGGATGGGGCAATGTGTTCTGGCAGCCAAACATTACTGTTTGTCAAGAAAAAATAACAAAACTGTTAATAGCATTCACTATAACGGACAAAACTGTTCCCTACTACTGTGAGAATTTGTGAGGTGTTTATATTAAGAGATGTACTTAGCTTTGACTCCGGACTTTTAAAAATTCTATTAATTTTAGAATAATTAGTTATCAAATTATATTCATACAAATTTGGAATAAATATTTTCTTCATATTACATTCCCTAGTTGATATAATCTCTATTCACTAAGAACATACTGCTCTAAACTCTTAAGGATTTTGTCAAAACTAGCAACTAATTAGAGAAGAGACCTAAATAAGTGCTTTGTAGAGAAAGAGAGACATAAACCTTCTCTACTACCTAGCTACTTATTTATTTAGCAGGGACAAAGTGACTGATCAAACATGTACATTTTTAGGACTTGCCATAGTGTGTGCCAGCATAAAGAAAGGGATGCAAACATTTTTAGAAAAAGAAACTGTGTTAGTGTTTACATTTCTGGAAGAGCTTGACTATTATGATGACCCCTGCCATTCATTGAGTCTTCTGGAAAACATTTTTGGCAGCATCAGTCAAGTTGATAGGGCCTCTGTGCAAGACTTGCTTGTAATCAAATAAGTATGGTGATTTTAAGCACAGCTGATTATTAAAAACAAGTAATGTGTGTTTAATTAGTTGGGAATTCCTGGAAACTTTTCAGTTTTTCTTAAGTACAAATTAATCAGCTGAACTATATAAAAGTCATATGTTTAATAAACTAGAACTTATTTTCATCAAATAGTAAAAGCTCTTGTTGGAATGTTTGCTGCTTTGCAGCCAGTGCTTAGTAAACTGCTAGCATGGCTTTAGTATGAAGACTTTTTTGATTTAGGAGATGCAGAAATAATTGGAACAATGTTGTCAATTATGAACAAAACAGATGCTGTTTAATTGTACTATGTAGACTTGTCTTAAATTAGCCTTTCAACAAAATCATGTTCTAATTAGAATTATAGGAGACTCAAAGTGTGAGAGAGTCTTATACATGAGTTACTTTTCTAGAAAAATGTTACGCTTATGTCATGCTGTAGTCCTAGAGAGGCTGCTGAATTAATTCTCTAGACTGTGATATTTTTTTACGTATCTGGAAAAGCATGATCTCATTCAAATACTGAATATGCAGTGTACTTGAGTTACCATGAAAACTTGTAGTTAAAATTTACTAGAACTTTGAGACTGTCCTTAGACTGATTTGAGTTATAAGAAAGCTGTAACCTTCATTGCTAAATTGCAAAGAAATAGCATATAGTAGCTGATCACTGTGGCGTGCATCAGCATGTTCAGATCAATTTGACCCAGTGATGAAATAGGTGTAGATTATAGATGCCTTCCCAGTTTGCTTCACTGGAAGTGGAAAATCCTTGGCAGAAAACTGTCTCAAACAGGAAATAATCCAACAGGTATTAATAAATTATACAATTTAACTTTCTGGCTTTGTGATAACTAAATATTTACAGGGGTTCTTGAGTATGTGTGTACATTTTGTGTAAAGATTCAAGGCTTAAGGTTATGGGAGAAGCCTCTGAATTCCAATAACCAACTGATTTTTATATTCTCAGATCTTTTATGACCTTGTGCGACAAATTAACAGAAAAACTCCAGTGCCTGGAAAAGCACGCAAAAAGTCATCGTGTCAGCTACTTTAATATATAGCTGTACTGTAGCTCTGAGCCAGGTAAACCTTTTTAAAATTTTTTTGTGTATTATGTCTATTAAATACAAACAAAACAACAACAAAAAAACCCTCTAACAACTGTGGTAGCTCTTAATGCAGAACAGCATTGAAAATTCTTAATTTGTGTTATCATAGAAATTCTTATAGTCTTTATTCTGATATTCCAAAGTCAAAACTACAAATACGTGCAAGATACGCTGTTCACAATAGTATCAATTTTTTTTCAAGCTTTAAAATGTTGGTAGAGCTCAAACTAAGGATGTTCATTCTGATACTCCAAAATTTTAGCTTTTGAAAACAGGGTTTTCTTTTTTAAAGGCTGCAAGATCTCAGTTACCAATAATGCACACTGTAAACTATTGCAGTTTTCACGCTAAAATGTCACTTTGTGCTTTGAACTCCTGCATATATTTGCATGATGTCATAGGAATTTAGCTTGCTTTCTTTGGCCTATCTATATTTTGTAGGCTGAATTGTATTTAGTACATTTGGAAGAGAGTGGTGAAGTGATCATTGTAACACTCCAAATATTTGACCTGGAGCTATTGGTTACTATATCAATTTCTTACGTTGGCAGTTGGCTAATGTTCTACATGACTAAATCCATGCTTTAAGAATGCTGCTGAAGGCTCCAGCAAGCTCCAGCCTGCTCTTTAGCGAGCCTTTTTAGAAGTTAGTCAGCAGGCATGATTTATTTTTTTTTCTGCAACTTGTTCTTGGGCAGGTTGTTTCCCCCTTTTCACCTCTAAGCCTTTGTATGGGCACAGGTCTCTCTTGATTGACCTGACATTATGCAAGTTTCCTGTTCATCATGATTCCCTTCCATTTTCCTGGATGTGGGGTGGTTCAGTTGCTTTAGTGCTATGGTCCATTATTTTGTCATCTGGTAGACCTATTTGATATACTGGAGGATCCTGGTAGGACATTTCACTGTCATAAATTGCAGGCTTTTATTAATATTCAGATTAGTGCCATGTTTAACACTTTTTTTTTTTGGTATTGATATTTAAACTTACTTAATTTAAACAAGTTGAATCAGCTTAAAGTAAAACGGAGAGGGTTCCAAAAGCATTAGCTGAAGAAGGCAGAAGTGGCTGCTGCACTTCCTTAACAGAGCTTTTGATTCAGGACCTTTGATCCGCCAAATGTGTTTTTGTTTTTAAAGCCACTGGAACTGTCATACTGTAAGCAAAACTAGTCCCACCCATCAAATACTACTTCCACAGCTCAGCCGTATGTATCCAGCTTTACTAATTGAGACAGTCTGTTATTTGTATCTGTACAGTAGAAATTACATTAGTAGAGGAGAAGCAATGAGGTTAATTTTCTCAGTCTGTTTGCTAAGAACTTGGCTAGTTCCTGCTTTAGTTATTTTAACTGAAGAGGAATGACAAATAGTTCTAAGTAATAGTAACCTCTTGTTTTGTTGTTCCAGGTCTGAAGAACTGTTGCCCAATTCAACAGTGCCAGCATTCCAACTTTATTAAACCTACCAACATCTTAAATGGACTTTCCTGTGGTGGTACCCTTTAAGAAATGGATGAAAGCTACTACATCAGTTTGCACATTCTAATCACTTTCCAGTGTCACGAGAGATTTTTACTTATAAATATTCTAAGTGTATGCAACTGGTAAAACCAGAGCCTACATCCAGTATTACTGATAAGAGACATTGTTCATCCACCAATGTTGTACATGTATGAAAACTGTGTACTGTATACTTCAACAATCCCCACTTTCTATTGGAGAGTACAATAATGTAAATCCTAAAAGCACCACTATTTTAGCATAATAAATGAAAGTCCAAAGAGCTCCTATATAGACTACTCCAGATAACTTTGCTTCATCGGTATTTGTAGCTTACTGTAACTTTTTTAAAGAAATACAGGATCATCATCATTGTAATGTACAAAAGCGCTTTGATTAACACAACAGCTATCTAGTTTTTTAATTTTAGGAAAAACCTGTGGAGACAGTGATCTAGTCTTTAAGAGTCCTTTCAGTATAACGTCTGACTAAAGACATGGCCTTTAATATCTGTTGGGAAGGAAATGTCCAGACTTTTCAACCTTTTATTGTATGTTTCCTTTTCCTTGTTTACATAGGGAACAATGTTTATAGTTGTGTGTACAGTGGGGGTCTACAACAAGAAGTGTATATTTTAAAACGATTTTTTAATGATTTAACAATTTTTTGTAAATCATTTTCGGGCTTCTGCAGCTGTAGATTCTCACTGTGAATTCCCTTGCTTGCTCATGCATAAGTGTATTTGCAATACCAAATATACAGGTTTAGTACTTTTGCCTGTTAGTGATTGTTTTACATGTGTAACGTTTTGGTTGAGATGTTAAATGGTGGAAGAGTACTGTGGATGTGAATGTGGGAAGTAATTTTAATCATGTGTAATTGGTCACAGGGCCTAAGTTGCAGTAATTAACTTTTGCTGATTTATTTAACAATGCCTTGTTGCTTTGTATGCATTAACGTTTGGGTGTAAAGATTGTGTGTATATCCAACAGGGAGCCACAGTATTTAAATTGACCAACCTAATGTTACAACTGCTTTGAGGTGGCCAAATGTAAACTAAAAGCCTTAATTAAAGTGGTGCAATTTTGTATGACTTAGCATCAGTAGTTCAATAAATTTGGATTGCCATGCAAGGGCTTGCATTACAGTTATATACTACTCGAATGTTTTGTGTTTCAGTAGTGCTAGTAAGTATTGATTTTTAAATCTCTTGCACAGTGCAGATCCATACATCTTAGGACGAAAAGGAACCATTATGACTTTGTCTTCTGACAAATACATGCCATGGATATTTCTTCTAACAGCATCCCATGTGCTAGGGTGGATGAATTTCTGACCAAATGAAATTTTGCTAATGTTCTTGGAGTATTCCAAGTTCTAACGTAAGGGAAAGTCTAACAGAAAAATATCTGTCTTCAAAGTTAGACTATCAGTGGCTATTTTGGGAACTTGAAAATATGTTGCCTGCTATTTTCTTTCTTTCCAGGAAAAATTAATTGTTAAAATTGACTTAGTGTAGCTTAAAAAAAAAAAAAAATCTCTTGGGAGAAAATACTGCTTTTCTGCATGACTAAACCACATTTGTTTGATTTCAAGGAAATCTACAGAAGAGCATTCTTGCAGTATTGAGTGTAGAGTTTTGCAGACTTTAAATATCTTTTACCACTGTTGGACTGTGAAGTGGAATGTGTGGACTGTGGATGATTTCCCGATCTTGGCTGTGCTGCTGAAAATTGTCACACCCAAATACTTGGTACCTCCTGTTTCTCTGGCACAGAATTATCAGAGCGTGTTCTAATCCATTCCTGCAAATTCAATCAGATTAGGTTAGCTAATACCGGTAAGCTTTGAGATAGTTTACGTTGCCCAAAGTGAATTAAGGAGCCCAGCTGATCCTTCCTGCTGGTAATTTCATCAGTCATCACCATTGCTTAATGGAGGTAACACACTCTTTCACTGTGTAGGGTCAGAGTTAAGACTGAAATTCCTTTTCATTTATCATTAGAAAACAGAACATGTGGTTGATGATCCCCATAAATATCTCTTGGTACTCTCTACATCCTGGTTGGTCCCCAGAGTAGATGAGACTGGAGCGCTAGATGCTCTAGTTCCTCTTTTACTAGCTACCTTCCTCCTTGATGAGCTTATCAGTATTTTTCCTCCCTTCACTTTCAACCTCTGCTTTTTCAGGTCTTAAAACACTTTTATGTCCCAATTGTCCTTTTATCTGTGTTCTTCTTAATGTGTTTCTTTTCCAGGCAGCTGTACAGATGGCATTGGGTGGGAGGGAGAGAAAATTCTTTCATAATGTCAGAGCAGGGGGGGGCTGGGCTGGTCTCAGTGTCCAGCCAAAAAGTACAAGGAACGTCAGGCCTTTTCCTGAAAGCTCTGTATTGAAGCATTCTTGGTTGCTTTGTGAAATAGTAAATGTACAGTTCCTCAGCAGCAGAGATAGTCAATTTGCTCAAAGTAAATTTTTTAGAAACTCCAGGCGTTACTATCTAAAGATTGTGCTAAAAAAGTGAGAGAGACTTTTTTGCCTTTTGTAGTTAGAACTTGGGCCAGATTTGTAAAATCAACATACCATAACCCAGGTAATACCTAAAACCCAGTATTTTTCTCCTTGAAAACTTAGGCAGACTTCAAGGGAGCAATGTCCCAGTTGTTAAAGGGAAGATGCATGACAAAATGATGCTGAGGAAGTGATGGACATGAAGTGTAAGGAAAAACGAATGAAAGAATTTTCTTCATTTCTAAGTAATCGTGGCATAAGAAGCTGTTCCCGCTGAGGAAGTGAACATCCAGTTCCCCACAGGAATTGGAACTATGTAAGCAGTTACCAATTCTAGAAAAGAATCCTGTCTGCTGAAATTTTGAACAAACTTTTACGTATCTTCAGGATAACTGCTTTGTGTACTGGCGCTTAAGAAGTTCACGCTTGAACTACTTGTACAGAAACAGAACACTTCTCATCAAGCTTTGAATGAAAATATGCATAATTCATAGCTTGAAAACTAATGCAGTAATTTTCCAAATTCAGTGTTAATACACATGTATTACTGCTTGTAAAGTTAGCTTATGCTTACAGTGCACACAGAGGTTGTGACTGCTTTATTTCCACCCTAATCTGAAATCGCTATATGTCAGTATTTAAATATCTTGAGCTTTCTATGGCAAAAGTAACGTTTATGTCCTGAAATATAGAAGTATTATTTAATGGAATTGCACTCTTCCTATTAGGACTCTTTTCTATCAGTATAAACTTATTTCTTATACCTTACCTTGTTACTAATGCCCTTCTTCATCCTCAAATTACTCTGTAAAATTAATGTCTACTTGTTGAAGTTTTAAGAATATTTTGAGACTTTGCAAGATGTTTTGAGGTGTCCAAACATACTCTAAGTTCAGATTACTTCTGCTCTTCTGCATAAGAGAACATAACTTATGGAAAAGTACTGTAGAGTTAGATATTATTTCATAATGTGTACTGATATTGCAATGCTAGAAATGGGAGGTGGGAGGAGAATCCTGATGGAATTTGGATTAAACTGTGCGTTTTTCTCCTTTTTTGGTGTAATTAGAGTTGCTGTTTTCTCATGGGTGAACAGTAAAGACGAGGATTTTCTTCATTTAAACTGCTACATCTATGGATGAGTCAAACTTGATAGATTTTTTTTTTTTTCTCCCAAGGTTTAATAACTTGGAGAAATTTTGCCACACTGCTACTAATTCTGGATAGACTTCAGTTTAGACATCTCAACAATAGAAAGTTATTTCTAGATATAAATGGTCAAAAATAGTAGTCTATATACAGCTGTCTGCAACACTTTTTCAATTGTAATATGAAGATGTAGCCAAGCATCAGCATAGACAGAAAGCTTTTTGTCCAGTGTTAAACTGCTGTCCCAACAGCATTAGGCGATAGTTCAGTTTATAGCTTTATTTTGCTTGTTTATGGGGAATAGAATAAAAGCAAAAAAAAGAGTTGCTCAAATAGGTAACAAAATGCAGTTGTATGTAGTTCTTTAAGGTACCATTAGAGAAGCAGAGCTCTTAACCAAATTGGGTTCTTATTTCTGAGTCTCAAGCACCTTGTACTTTTCTTTGAAAGATTTGTGAACAGCTTGAGGATTCTTAAAACCTAATTTAACTTCTCTGGTTTTGAAAGTAAAACTCATATTTGAAACTTTACATTCATAGTCTGGAATGATAAGCAAAGTTGTTTTGTAGTCTTGATTTTATTCCCAGTGTTGCAATATCTGAGGTTCAAACAACAGATCAGTGTGGATTTTGCTGCTTTATTTTTTGCTTTTCTTCTGTTTTTCTTTCCTAAATCCTCTCCAAAACCATTTATTTTCAGAATTTTGAATCATCAAGCAGAGGGTGGCTTCCTGTTTTCAATGAGATGTTCTTTAGGGAGAGATTTGTGAATGGAGAAAGGAATGTCTTCGTAATTCCACTGTACTCACTTCACTCAAGAAATATTAGTGCTGCTGAACAACAGGCTCTACGGCTTCATTGTTTCAAGAAAGTTAACTGCCACCAGGATAATATTTTTTTTTCTTTGGGTGGCTGAACTACTTCATTTGAAAGACACTGTAATGTGTAACTAATTCATGTAATTTCTTTTGGCTACCATAAACTTGAGGAGAGGGGGCACATCTGCAATCTTGGATACAGAGTGAAACTATAGTAGAAGTTATAGTTCCTTCTTTGCTCAGTATATTTTACCTTTTCATATTCTGTGCCATTTTTACCTTGTACTTCTTAATCTAGCAGGGAGGAATCAGTAACTTCACTCCTGTACTAAGGACAAAAATCTACATGTGAAATCCCAGCTCTTGGCAACTGGGTTTACTGCTTGTAACGTGCCCAATACAACAAAGACTCTTGGCACTACTGTCGTGATTTTACACACAATAAAATGACAGTTACAAATACGTCTCTTTCTTTTTCCTTTTTAACAAAAAAAGGGGGGTTAGCTGAGCTTCCCCAATAGGAGTAGGCATGGGAATCAATTTGTTTAGGGTAAGACTCCCAATAAACAGAGTCAACACACGCATTTTAATGCTAAACAAGCACATAAACACTTGACTTAAATTCTTGAGATTGGTTTAAAAGAAAAGCTTCCTTACATCTAAATTTTTAAAAAGTGAAAAATTACACATGTCCAGGAATGTGTTTCAAATGAGAAAAGATGGGCTTAAAACATGAGCTTTCTTCCTTCTCTTACCAAAAGGCATGGTATTAATGTGGGTTCCATGGTTTTCTTTGTAATGAATGTAGTCGTGCTGCTGTCACACACTGCGCAAGAACTTTGTCAGGCTCTTGCTTTTGTTAGTACTGAATTAAGACTCCTATTTTCTATATGCAGATGTCATGTATGCATCCTAGCAATGCATTAGAGCAATTTATTTGATTTGTGAGCTGTCTATATTTATAAAAACATACTTTTCTAAAGGGTAATTGGAGTTTTGAGTTCGTGTACTTGTCTAATTTAGTATATCCTGAATATAGTACATCCTGTAGACCCTGCAAACTTCACAGAAAGCGAGTAGGGAACAGAGGAATCTTGGGCACTGGCAAGAAACTTGCCATGTTTCTGTGGTAGTTGGGCTCAATTGTCTTTGCTTGTCCTGCCTGTAAGTATTGAGCGTTACTACTACCCCTCATGAGATTTTGACAATGTGGCTGCAGTTGCAATCAGTGTTGATGCAAATATGTGAAACTTAAGAGGGATTTGTAATTTTTAACTATAAATTTAAATTCTGAGTCCTTTATATTGTGCTAAAGGAACACTATGTAAGAATGGACTGAAAAATTTGCATTCCCTTCTGCTTCTTGGAAGTGTAAGATGCTTGTGTGAGACTCCCAGTTCTTTTTTTCCTCCTTTTCTTCTCCTCTTTCCCTCCTGTTGGATAAATATGAAGTTGGATGCTAGTCAAAAAACACTGCCTGAAAACATACCTCAGGGGTTCTGTCTTGTTCCTTCCCCTTGCCCCCTTTACGGGAGCCAACTTGGAAGCCTCTAAGGTCCTTCCCCAGCCTGCATTTAAAGAAGTTGTACATACTAAGACAAGTTCTCTCAAGGGCCTCAAATCCTTTTGTTTTTTTTGTGGGGGGTTTTTTGTTTGGTTTTCTTTTTTAAATA